TAACCCTAACCAATCAGATTTTTTAGCTTCAACATCAGCCAAACTTCAGCATCAGCCGTCACAATAATTAATAATATTATTAACAATCATTATTAACAATTAGCCTGAGTTATTAACTAAAAACTACTTAATAATGTATGGCACAGCTATTTAGTATTAGTGCTCGGGCACTTCCTTATGCATGTACTAAATGATATTTTATTAAAATGAGAGAGCATTAAAATTACGGTTTCATAAGACGAGTTTTTTTTTCTTGTTTGCGAAGTGACAAAATTTTAATTATATACGGATACACTTATTATATTTTAACTTTTAGTAATAAGTGCAAACATTATTAGAATTTTATTTCCAGGTGTAATAAACGACAACTATAGCACACTCATTAGTCAAAATCCTAACAAGTTCGCCCGCATTAGGTTAGTGTTAGCTGAATTCTAATTAATTTTTGCCGAGAATTTGGTTGTCAGGATTGTTTGTCAGGATGGTTTGTCAGGATTTTGACCCAAACAATTACATACATATGCAGTTATTAAAATGCTTGCATAATTTTTAACAATTACTGAAATTATTAAATATTATTAACTATTATTAATTAATAGTTGGTTTATTATTAACAATTCAGTAGTCTCATCACTAGCTACACCATAGTCTCGTAAATTATGTACAAAAATTTTTTTATAACGATAATATAAAATAATACTGTGTAACACAACCTAAATACCATTTTATCACATAATTATTGCAGTTTTGGAATTCAAATAACAAAATGTCATAACCCACTAATAACTATAGATACATTACTTTTTTGAATTAAATCAGATTTTTAATAATTTTAAATACAACACAATCAAAAACGTCAAAGCGTACAAACCCAGAAGGTTTCAGAAAATCAACAATTACAGGTTTTTCCTTGGCGGCACTCATAATACAGTACAAACCTACTCTACATACCAATACTAATTTTTTTTTTAAAAAAAAATTATTACAGTTTTGGGAATTTAGGTAAATTGTTTACTCAAATAGCAAGTGCCATAACTAATCACTATAACATTTTTGAATGGATTTAGATTATTTAGATTTTAAGAACCAATCAAAAGCGTTAAAGCGCACAAATTATTGTGCAGCCATGTTATTGACGACTGCACTAAAAATTCTCATATTTGTACGGTTTACGTCATTACTGTTTTTACGTCTTTTTTTTATGACTTAAATTTTAACAATGGTATCGTTTTAAAAAAAAAGAAGGGGATGTAAGAAAGAAGTTTAAATTGATGACATAAACTATACAAATGAAAAATAGTGTAGTCGTCAATAACTGCTTTACAATAATACCGTTATTGGATAGGGTTAAAAATATTCACGTGGGTGTTAAACGGCGGCATGATCTGCACCAATCATCTTCCACCGTTTAATACCAACGTGCATATTTTTGAAATAATCCGACATTTCATATGATCATGTAAATTTTTTTTGTCATGATATTTTTGCATGAAATACGTAATCAGTTTTGCAAAATATCAAAATAACTTCACATGGTCATATTATTGAACATACAGTACGTACGACAAATAACATGCAATTTTTTGTCTTTTTACTGTTTTGGGGTTTGCCGGCCAATATACTTATAAGAAGATTAGCTAAATAAAAGCTGTGACACATTATGTATCATGTGAACGTCACATTTGTATTGTTATACATATTGTAATATCGATATAGTTTAGCGCCTAGAAATCACGTGAGATGCCGGGTTTTATGAACCTAAATCAGGACCAACCGGACTTTAGACATCTCGACCGTTATTGTTAGTTAAGAATTATTTAAAAAAAAGCTAATCATTTCTTGACTATTACAAATAATAATGTTTGGTCGAGCTCTGTTTAAAAGAAATTTCAATACAAGGCAATTTTCAAAATTGTGTTTCACTCAAACTGAAGTTTTATCAAAAACTACTATTGGAACCCTTTTTTTTCCTAAAAAAACTCAATTACGCTTTTTAACCATTAATCATATAAATTCAGGTAAATCTATCCCTCCGTTTAATAAATCAACTGTTTCTAATTATAAGCGTAAAGCCATGCCAATATCATTTGAAGGTAATACAAATTCTATTTTACGTATATTACCGTGAATTTCATTAATAATAGTGACATTCTTCAGATAGCAATGTAGCTTTTCAAAATAAGACTTTGAACGAATTAATCCGTTCTTATATTATTTATAAGTTCCTTTCTGTGCAATGGGTTGTAGACTATGCATCAAACTTGATTAAAATACCTGAAAAATTGCGACTTTCATGGCTTACTTATTGGGTTATAAAAAGAACTTTTTTTGTTCAATTTTGCGGGTAAGTTAAAAACTTCAAGGTTTTATTATAAAATATAATATATTAATATAATTATTCTGATATTTCAGAGGTGAAACTGATGAAGAATGCATTGATACTATGTCGAAATTAAGAAAGTATCATATTGGATCTATACTTGGTCCATCGATTGAAACTGATTTAAATCAAGATGAATCTTCATCAGATATTGAAAACGATGAAAAATTTAATCAAGCTACAAATATTTATTTAAGTGGCATTAAAACTATGTCAAAACTACCTAACAGTTTCGTTAATGTTAAAATTACTGGCCTTTCAGACCCCTTGATTTTAAAAAATTTGACTTTAACTTTGAATTCTTTAAACAAAGCCTTCGATCAATTCGATAATGATCAAGATGGGACATTAAGAAAAACTGAATTAAAGAACCTTTTTGTTAATATCTTTGGAGAAAGTGAATCACGTCTTATTGACAGAGTTTTGAATAAAGCAGACTCTGATAATAAATTAATTGATCGATTAGACTATTTTAAGATTTTACTGGATAATCGAGATTTTATGATCAAGCATTCAATGTTAAATCAAAAAATGATTAAAGGTTTTAATCAATTATTAACTAGGCTTGAACAAATAAGCAAGACAGCACATCAATATAATGTGAAATTATTAATAGATGCGGAGCAAAGTTATTTCCAGCCAGGAATCGATTACCTAGCAATGGGACTATCTTTGAAATTTAACAAATTAACTGATGAAAATAATTTTCAAAATGGTCCAATCATATTTAACACGTATCAAATGTATCTTAAGGATTCATCATCAAGATTGAAGAGAGATTACGAATTATCACGAAGAAACAAATTTGTATTTGCAGCAAAGCTTGTTCGCGGTGCCTATATGGCTAATGAAAGATTGATCGCAAAGGAATCAGGTTATCCGGATCCTATCCACGATAATTTAGAAGACACCCATGAATCTTATAACGGTGCTGTTACTTTTTTATTAAACGAACTGTATAAAAGTAAAAAGAATTTAGAAGCTAAAAATGTCAATGACGGCAGCATTTACGATTCAAATATTAGCAACAATCCTTTGGTATTCGTGATTGCTTCGCATAATCAAGAATCTATAATTAAGGCATGTGAAAAGTTAGACCAATTAGGAATTAATTTAGATTCTGGTGCCGTATATTTTGCTCAATTGTATGGTATGTATATATATATATATATATATATATATATTTTTTCATGTGTTTATTATTAGAAATTTAATTTCACTTTGCATTACGTATATAGGAATGTGTGATCAAATCACTTATGCACTTAGTGGTCTTGGTTATCCTGTCTATAAAGCTTTAATATATGGAAAGGTAGTAAAAAGAGCATATTGCTTCTACTATAAATGTTAAATAATCTGAAACTAAAATTAATTAAATGTTAAGGTAAATGAAGTTATTCCATATTTGATAAGAAGAGCTCAGGAAAATTCTTCAGTACTTGATGGCCGTGCAGCAGTTGAACAAAAAGCATTATGGAATGAAATAATTAGAAGGTTTAAATTTTGTAAGTAATTTATTCACCTATTATGTTTTTGTGTATTTAATATTTTTATTTTAAATGTATTTATCACTATAGGGTAATCTTGTTTGCTACAAATTTTAGTTGTATAAAATAAAAAGGATTTAAAATTATTGTCTAAAGTGTATTTGAAGATACTTTATTTCCATACATAAATATGAAATGCCTAGCTGTTACCAAGGGAAACTCGTGTTTGATGAAAATAACGTTCCAGATGCTAACTCGGACATCCAATCAGATTCTGATAATTTAGTATGTGTTAAGTTTATATGTGGCAAGGGTACCAATAGCGGCATGTAAAAAAACTAATTTAGGAAATGCCACTGGGTACAGTATAAAAGATTATATTTGTAAAATTTACTGTTTAAATATTATATAATAAATAGATTTTGCATAATATATAATAGGTATATTATAGTATGCCAGTGGTGTGCTATGACACGGATTTTAACAAAAAGCATGCTACATTCATGCTAGATACTGGTGTACCGGGTATGTTGTTCAGGTCATGTATTCTGAATGGTTTAATATTTATAACTTAGTAATAATCTTTACAAATATTAATAAAAAAAATTTTATAGTTATAATATGGTTTGCTCGCCATTCCATCACGGATTTCATTTAGATAACATGCTGTACTATATGTTTAATTACTAAATTTTGTAAATATTTATAAAAAAAACATTATTTAACTAAGCCATGCTTTGCTTGCCATTCATCACGGGATTTTATTTAAACATGTTTTGTTAAGTTATTTAGATTTATTATATGAAATTAGTGCTTCTTATTCTAGCATAAAATGAACCTAAATTATTTCAGATTGTTATTTGTAAATAAATTGATAAAAACATGTCTGATTTTTTTAACTGGATATCTTGACAACCACCTGACCAAATTTGATGAGTTTTTTTACCATACAAACTCAGAATAATGCCCACCTGCACGTTAATTAATAAACCTGTGCATTAATTCGAGTATATTCAAGTGTATTATTTTAAAATTTAGATTAAATAAATATTTCTTAATTATAATAAGTATAGTAAGGAATGAAAGTGCTTCTGAACTGAATTTTTACCAAGAAACTTGCTTTTACTACCACTATAATTGTCTTAGTCTAAAAACAATTTTATTTAGCGTAAAAAAAGGTTTACTTCGTACCAAATCCAGTTCCAGTACACTTTTTATTTTTATTTTTTTATAAATAGATGTGTATTGATTTTCAAAATAACACCCACAAGCATTATTCTGAGTTTGTATAGTACAGTATTTGAATTCTACAGAACTTTAAAATTCAAATAAAAAATTTTTATTGAATTTAACCAGATAGTTGTCAAGATATTTGCACTCAAAAATTTTAACATGGTTTTGTTTTTGATAGATATTTTGATTTTTTTGAAAACTTTGAATAATGATATCTTGACAATGACCTGATTAACTTTGATAAAATTTTTTATTTGAATTCTACAGATTTGTAGAATTCAAATAAAAAAAAATTATCAAATTTAGTCAGTTTGGTATCGAGATATTTTCATTCAAAGTTTTAAAAATTTTAATTTTTTGTGGAGTATGAATATTAAATTTGGAGATATATATACTAGTCTTCTATATAAAAGTTTTTAAATTTTAATCATTTAATTATAATTTTTTATATTAGATTATACAAAACTAATTTTTTGGTTTTCATAATATAAAATTTAAAAAATAATCTAACAACCTAGCTTTTAATTTTATTTTCCAAAAATTATATATATAAAAAGCATATAAAAATTATTAGACTTTAAAAAAGATTTTACTAAAATGCATCTATGGTATTTTACATCTATGTATACAATATTTCAAAAACTGGCTAATTAATCTATATGAGGTATTCTAAATAAAAATATTCTATACCCCAAAAATCCTTTTCAAATTCTATTTATAACCTTAATATTAACTTTAATATAAAAAAATTAGGGTTAAAAATTTTATATACAAAATTTATAAAACTTGAAAAATTTTAAAAAATATAATAAAAATATACAATAGATACAAAACTACTATAGATACATTTTATAATAATTGTTTAAAAAAGTTTTATTCAGATAATAAAACCAATTTATTAAGTTTGTATAACTTTAAATAAAGTAAATTCTAAACTATTTTTTTTTAATATTCAAAAGTGAAGTTATACTTTTATCTTTATTAAAATTTACTTAAGCTTCTTTATAAGTAAAAAAAATTATATATAAACTCTATATCTAAAGGATAATAAGACTAGAAACTCAAACTAATTTATTTGTAATCTAAATCTATCAAAGTGGTTATAGTTTACTTAGAATAATATAAACTGATTAATTAAGTTATAGCTTATTTAAATTTGTCATATTTATACAAATCTAAATATATATTTAAATTGTATAAATATATTGTTAAAACTATAAAATATAGCTAACAAGTAAGATATTAGATAATATAAATATATAGAAAAGTTAGTTATATAAAAATATATCAATATATATAGATTAGTATTTAGGATAAAATTATTATAAAAGAATAAATAATAGTATATTATAGTCAATTGTGATAGTTATATAATTATAGAATGAATATAGTAGAAGTTAAATAGTGAGATTGTAATTTTGTATATAAGTAAAATAATATAATATAGTAGCTAATAGTATTTTTATAACTAAACTGAACTAAATTTTTGGCTAAATCAGTTTAAAATTAAACTAAACTTAAAAAAGTTCAATATTAAACTTTTAAATTAAGTTCAGATTCAGTTCAGATTTAGTTTAAAAGTTTATAAACATATTTATATTTAAAAATTATTTATATATATTATATATTATCAAAAATAATCTACCTTTAATAATAAGCTAATTGTTTTTTAGAAGAAAAATATAAAAACTTTTTAAATTTAAAAATAAATTATTTATATAATAATTAGTAAATACTCTATAGTAAAGTTAAAATTTTACTAAATAAATCAATTTATTTATTAAGAAAATGACTAAAATCAAGTATATTTATATATTTTTGATTATTTAATTAAAATTAAAGTAAGAGTTAGTTAGAAGTTAAGATTAGAGTAAGACTTATAGATAAAATTGTCTTTCTGATATTTTTGATTAGCATCTCAAGATGGGTTTAAATACTCATTATTTATATTTTTATATTTTGTACTTTTTTTCTTTGTTTTTGTCTTGTTAGGCTGATTTGAGTAAATCAAAATTTATGACTTGATTGGTTATAAGTTATATAAATAAACTTAGTTTTAGACAATCTTTTTATTAAGTAAAAGTTGTTTAGAAGATCAAAATATATATATTATAAATATTTTATCCAAATTAAATAATCTTTTATTACTATATTTTTATATATTATATTTGATAAATTTCTTAAAATTTTTTAAAATTTATATTTATTAAATATAAAAATTAAAAGTCAATTAATAAAAAGTTATCTGATTTATAAGAATTTTTAAAAATATATATAAATATATTTTCTAATTATCAGTAGCCTTGCTGATATCTTTTATTAGATTAAAAAAATATACAGGTACATTCTAAACTATCTAAGCTTTAAATATGATATTACTTGGAAGTGCCTAAGTGCAGTTTGCTATACTAGTTAAGGCTATTGTTTATACTAGAGAGCTGTACCAAGCTAGCTAGCAAAACTATACAAGATGGTTTCAAATTGAAAGAATTTTAACTATATTTAGTTGGCAATTTTTTTTAAAAAATATTCTCCTTTTTAAAACAATATTTTAAATCTAATTTTCTAATAATAAACAACTCTACTTTTTTTTCAACTAAAAGTTATTGCCAGAATTCTTTCGTTTATATTTACATTTCTTTTCCTTTTTTTTCAGTTTAACCTGTTCTTTCTAATCAAGGACCCAGTTCTCAGAAGTCTTCTCATATCCTTTTTTTTAATTTTTTTTTTTGTTTTATAGCTTTATATTTTCTTTTTTCTTCTTAAAAGCTTGTTCTATAAGTTTTTTTGGAAATAATCTTTTGTATGCTTCTCTTTTCTCTAAATACCTTGGGTCTTCTTCTAGTTCTTTCATTTTAGAGTCTTGGTCAGTCTGTTTGAGTTTTTTTCTTCTGTAATCTGGATATAGAATTCTTTTTTTCTTTTTTTATCTTTTTTTTTCTTTTTCCTTCTAGAACTTGGTTTTTTTCTCAGAAACTTTTCTTGTATTTTAGTGAAAATTTTCTGATTTCTGAAATATTCTACAAAAATCTTTTTTACTATCTCTAATAACATATTCTTTTTTTGCTTTTCCAATTCTTGTTTTACTTCGATCTGAATGCTGATATATTTTGAAACATATTTGCATTAAAATTCTATTAGAACTTAAACCATATATCTATTTTGTAAGCAGATCTTTTTTTCTATATTTTATTATTAAACTGTGAATCCTTATTACTTGCTTGATATATTACTTCTATTAACTATTCTGCTAGGGTTGCTAATATGATGTTTGGTTTTGTTTCTTTTTTAATTTGTTTAGCACTTTTACTTCTGTAAGACCTGGGATATCTTGTCTCTTGCTTCTCTTTCTTTTTCTTCTTTGATTTTTTTTTTTTTCTTTTTTAACTTGTAGCAAATTTGATAGATACTTTAAACTATATTACTAGAGTTCTTAATACTATTTTGTTATATGCTTTTTATTAAGTTTTTTTTTGTTCTTGAAGTTTTTTGCTTTAGTTTAGATTCAACTTTAATTTTATTTCAGCAGCTTGTCTTTTCTTTGCTGAATTTGCATTTTTTCTTTTTTTTTTAGCTTTTCATCTTAACTCTTGTTGGTTTGCTGCAGTAATCTTGACAGATTCTTTGAATTGATATATTATAGACTTTAGAGCTGTTATATTTTGCTGTTTTTATTAATTCTTTCTTTGTTCTTGAAGTTTCTTGCTCTAATCTAATTCTAATTTCAACTTTATTTTAGCATCTTGTTTTTTTTCTTCTAGTAAACTTCTTATTCTATCAGCTATATTTAATT